AAGGAGCGGGGATCCCGGGGAGCAGGGCTCTGTGCCGCAAAGCAGCGGCCCCATCGAAAAGCCAGGCCCCAGGACAGGGGGACATTTTGTTCAGCCAAGGAGGACTGCATTGGCAACATGCCCGCAGCCAGAGCCTTTGCACCTAACTCAAAGAAAATGGAAGAAAGGGCAGAGGGAAGCGGCTGAGCCCTGAGCTGGATGCGGGCTCAAGGGCGCGCTGTCTGTCTGTCTGTCCTCCAGAGCCCCAGGCCACCTCTACAGGTTGAGCTGCCTGCTCAGCTCCCCTGGCCCAGACTAAAATTGAACCCCTGGGGGGTGACCCCTCCTCAGGCACTGCTGAAGCTGCTGCCTGTTCCAGTTGGGAGCAGGGCAGGGAACAGCTGGAAGCAGGATCGCACCCAGCAAATAAAAGTCACAGCAGCAAACTGTGTTGGCCCCGGTGACTTCCGTTTAACACCCTCTCTCCAAACACAGCCTTTGGTTTCCAACAGGAATTGTAACGCAAATATTTATTTCTCCAGCCCAGCTCATGCTTTTAAAAGGGAAACTATGCGGCATCATCTGGAGCCGGTGGAAAGCTACAGTTGCTTCCCTCTTGCTCTCCTCCACGGGTCAGAGCAAGCAGCTGAAGGCAGCCCCTCTTCAGGTGTATTTTCTCTCCTGCCCACTCCCATCCCTTGGCTGGAGGACCTTGGAAGTCTGCTGGAGGGCAGCAGGGAGGTGGTAACCTGAGCTGCAGCCTTCTCAGCCCTGAGGGATGCACAAATCTTACATCCAGCTGCCCACCTCCGGGTTTAATTGCCTGACGTAAGGAAAACTACGCTGATAGGAAGCTGGATGTGGTCTCCTGGCCAGGGCTCTCCCTGTGGTCCTCTGCCAGCCCATGAAGCTGAAACGTAGGGGGAACCCACAGCCGGAGCAGCCCAGAGCCTTCAAGGGATGGGGAGGACAAGGCAGTCCAGGTGTTTGTCCTCTTCCCCCAGGCCAGTTCCTTCACATGCTTAAAAAAAAAAAAAAGCCCCAAACCAAATAAAAATAATAAAATAAGCAGACTTTTGAAAAAGCATGCAGCACACTTGGCCACATCCGAATGTTGCGGAGCCGGGATGCTGTTTCCTCCCCTCCCGGGGAGGGGGAGCCAAGGCCAGCCCCCTCCTACAGCCAGCTCTGGCCACAGTTAGGACAGTTCCTGCTGCCCGCTGGTATAATCAATAGCGGCTGCACAGTCAGATGATTGCACGCAGCCCACACGCTTGGCACAGAAACAAGCATTTTTCTGGGAAAAATGGGGGGTGCAAGGGCAGGATACAAGTGCCTCTGCTATCTGCAGGCAGCCATCCCTGCTCTCAGTATCTCCTCCTGGATACAGGCCCTCCCTCGGGGGCATTTTCATAGACAGCCAGGAGGAGACTCCCCAGCGCCGTGTTTAGCCTGATATTTCACACACACACCCCTGGCAAGAGTGGTCCTGCTCTGGCCTTTTAATCTTCCTTTGGAAAACAACCTGGGGATGGTGAGTACAATCATTTCATCCCCGCTAAAACCGAGGAAAGGCAGCAGCCGGTGCTCGCAAAGCTGGCTTGGGCTGGGTAAGAGGGGCAGTGGCAGGGAGGGACTGAAGCAGCTCCATGTGTGGAGGAGAATCAAACCCGTGGAGCATTTCCTCCACTCCAGTTAGCGCTGTAACCGATTTTTCAATCCCTATTTGGGAGGCACAGCACGTATCCACCCTTAGGTAGCAGGAAGACTCTCAAGAATTTGTCTTTCTGAGAAACCTTTTATTTGGCACAATCAATGCTAGCGTTTTTCAGAGCGAAACCATTCCTTCCTCCCCCTACTGAGAAAAGCCTCAAGTACAGGCTTCTGCCGCGCTCGTGCCGCACAACACTGTGCTTGGAGGCAGGGCCTGCTGCAATACAAAGAAATTTAGTTTTTCTCAGTAACACGTGGGTGTGGAAAGCCCAGCCTGCGGATTTACAGCAGCCTGCTGCAAACTTTTTGTTACTAGAAGTGGACTGACCACAAAACTGTCATTGAGAAGGCCTCGGTAAACAGCTGGATCAAAGGCTGAAATGCCCTGATTTCTGGGGCCGGGGCTGCCATCGGGGCTGGGGTTATGAGCAGCAGCTGCACCTCAGAGGTCTGAGCACTGTTCCTACGCTGGAGCTTTGCCAGAGGCTTTAACAGAAGCAGGGTCAGAAGCTGAACCGGGAACCCTGCAGTGCGGGGACAGATCATTTTGTTTCCCAACGCACGACTGCCTTAGCAAAGAACCGGACAATCCTGTTAATGCCTCACAGAAGCCCTGTCAAGAATAAAAAAAAAAAAAAAAATCCAGCGGCACTTGGAGCAAGATATTCCACTTTCGTGCCCTTTAAACAAAACCATCCTATCATTACCTTTGCCCCCCTCTCAGGGAGGGTGAGTGACAGTGAGAAGCAGGGAACCTTTTGCTTTCTCCTTACCCAGCCGGTCTGTCCCAGCAGCCTAATTCTCCATCTGGCTGACTGCTTCATCCTGGCCCTCCGGAGAGTTTGCTGGCTGAGGGGTAGACAAGTGTTCCAGCTCGTAATGTCCGTTCCTCGCAGCCGCCGCACTGCTTGGGTGACCCTCTTCCGCTGCCAGCTTTTTACTCTTCTTGCTCTCAATGATCTGCTGGAGCTGACGCCCAGCATAGTCTGGTTTGGCAGTAAGCACAGTAGTGGGCACGGTGAGCCCAAGGATTTCGGGTACCATGTAGGGCCGGAGCCAGCCCACCAGTGGGGTGCTGCCAGGGGTATAGTGGGTTTGCTTGTGATAGAAGAGAAGTCCATCAACCTGTAAAAAGGAGAGAGCGTGAATGGAAGGCCAGAGCTGGAGGCTTTTGCAGGTGGATGACAGAGTGCCAGACGACAGCACCGCTCTCCATTTACAGGCCAAAACTACCAGCTGGATCATTTTTCCTCAAGCAGTGCAATAAATAGCGGAAGGGAAAGAAGAAACCTGCAGAGCTCCTGCCCTGAAAGATCAGTGCAAGCCCAGCAACTGCCGGATGGCTTTAAATCGTCAAAGGCAAACAATTTCAGCCTGATGTCGGCACAGACCAGCACTTTTCCTCTGGTTGCTATGATCCCTTTCTGCAGAAAAGCCATCGGGTTTCTGAGTAAGGCAGCACACAGAAAGGCCACTTTACTGGATTAAGGTTATTTAAAATCATACATTTGGAGAGTAATTAGCCAGAGTGCATGATGCCAAGGAGCCCTGATTCGTAACACTGCTACAGCTCTTTCAGCTGGCTTATGCAAAATAAATTCTTTATGTCTCCCAGGAGAGAACTTCTCCAGCAATCAATGACAGTTAAGGGCACTCACGACTTTGAAGGTTTAGGCCCTAACTCTTGTGCTACTATTTCCACACTCTGCAGTACTGCAGCTGGCTGACGTTTTCCCCGCTTCCCCACCATGCTAAGGGATTTTTACCCCCCTCTCCTTGAGCTTCCCAGGGGTGTACTCTGCAAGGTTAGATCCTGCTGTCAGGCTGACTAATGCTGGAGGTGGTGCTCCTCTTTGCTCAGCCTTGCAAGCTCTTAAAAGGCCATTTGCCTACGAGTAAGTGGCTGAGTAGGCAGAAGAGATGAGAAAGAGAGCCCACCTCGGGCTGAATTGCTCCCAGGCCCCTCCCCAAGCGTACAGCCCCCAGAATATATACAGCAGAATGGCACCTATATCAGCAGTGAGCTAAGGCATGGGTGAGCCAAGCAGATTGAGGTGATATCTGCTACTATGCTGGACTGCGAGCCAGGCTGAGCAAAGAGCAGCATATGTCCATCTCTGCTCCATGGATGCTAACCTCCAGTACTAACCTCTGTTAGAGCTTCTTGCACTACTCTGCCCATAATTCTCAGTCACCATTAAGATATTGCAAAATAATCCCAGAAAAAGGGGGATTCCTGTGCGAGGAAAACATAAAACCGGAACAGTAAACACCATGATGAGCTTGTGTAACCCTCTGAATATCTAAAGTGCAAAGCTTCTCCCTCCCCCTGCCTCCTGGGAAGACTTGGGAAGAGCCAAATTCCACGGCACCCCGGCACCACGCCTGCGCATCCAGCCCATTCCTGTGGGTGCACAGCACTTGGTGAGCAACGGGAATTCTCTGGCACCCACAGGAATGTTTTGGTAAAGATCAGAGCCTGGAAAGGCTTCTGCCTTCCACACCACTCCAAAAATCTTCCCCAAGCTGGAGAATTCAAAGGAGTTCAGCCTGGTGGAGAGTTAGGTCACGTTCTTCCTTCCCCTGATTTCTCTCAAGTTACTGCAATTCCCATAGTCCTTCCAGTTTATTTAATTTGCTGGCTGGGTCCCTACCCTGAGTCACCATGCTGACACCAGCCACATCAGAATAAGGGCCGACACTGTCCCTAAACAACCAAACCTGATGAGAAACTGGCCTGGCAGGATTTCACATTTCACGGCTGTGCTTTTCAGATTTTAGGTGCTTAACAGTACGCCCATTCCTTCACACTGGGGTTTCTCAGAGACTTGTCTCCCCCTGAATTCGTGGAAACCTGAACGTTGTTTTACTCAGATCTGCGAGTAGGACAGTAGCTCTTAAGAGCGACTCCAAAAACCACTTCAAATCCAGTGCCAGTCAACTGATCCAAAGTCCACTGAATATAGCGGATCAGGTCCTAACTCTAAGGTTACAGATTAACTCTGAAGACCCAGATCTGAAAGTACTGACTACCTCTCTGGCCACCACACACACGAGATCCTCGTAAGGATCCTGGGCCCAGGCATAAGGAGACTTCTATTATACTCTACTATCTAAAGCAAGGCTGTATTTTGCCTTCTGCAAAGTTTCTTTATGTGCTATTGGGGGAAGCTATTTACGGGGATTTCTTGGGCTCCCTCTTGTGGCACATCACGACGAGACCCACAGCTCCCTTCATTCCTGGAAGCGGCACCAGGGTTTCTGTGGGGTTACTGGCTGCTTTGAGCCAAATTACACCATGTCGCACCCCGATGTATCGGCCAGAGAACCTGGGGGGAAAATCACAGCTGGATTACAAGGGAGAGTCTGATCAACTCCATCTCCCTCCCCCGGCATTTCGCAATGGTCTCCTTCACAGGCTGAAACGTTTCTGCGCTGACCGCAGTGGGGCAATACTCCTCAGCCTTTTCTCGTGGGAGCAGATGCCTCAGGAAGGAATTAAGCTTTCTTCAGCAAATACGGGAATTAGCGTTTCTACAGAGGCACTCAGAACATTTGTAATTGAGCAAGCCAGCTGTAGGAAACCTGGGATGCCTTCTCAACACTCCCCGATCTGTGTTCAGAGTGGGGCCTGGCAAGACCAGCAAAGGGCTGGGACTTTCCGACTCTAATGACTGTCCTGGCTTTGACAAGCAGAAGGCAAAGTCAGCCCTCGCAGCCAAATTAGCGTCCCTTAAATTTAAACCTGCACTTACATTAATCGCTAACTTGGGCCAGGAGAGCACAAGAGACAGTCAAATCAATGTGGCTTTTGGCTTAGCAGGACAAGCAACCTCTGTAGAGGCTGCTCCTGATCTAGGGCTGAGACTGGGCACTCCGCAGGAACTGCTGCAGCCAGTAGAGGAGCTTCTGGCTCCCAGATGTTTGTCACCAATGCTGTGCTGGAATGCCACCACCTCCTCCATCCTCTTCCACTTCAGTGCCAAGTCAGCCAGGATAGCCACCCAAAGCAGCCTGAGCTTTTTTCACAAGGGCCTCTGACTCACTGCTCACAACCAGAGACAGCTGAACTGGGTGGTACATCGAGTTGCCTGTCCTGGCCTTCTCCCACAGCTCAGCAGAGAGACCTGAACAGCACCTACTTCTAAAGCTGCTGAAGCAAATGCAGGTGTCCTGTTCAGCCACTCTTGCTGGGAGACCAGCCACCTCAGAGAGCCAAGAGCAGCAGGAGCCAAAGGCAGGAGGCTGCTGGTTCTGTACCAAAGCAAAAAGCAGAGCTCGTACTATCCCCTCCACAAGATCCAATGGCAGCAGGACAGACTCATCTGAACCCCTCCCAGCCATTTCTGCTACAGCCATCTGCCCCCAGCTCCCATACATCTCAGGTGCACACCAGTAACACCCGAATCCCTCAGAAACCGTCAGGAGCTTACCACCACCCTTCTCCTTCCTCCCCGCAAGACACACGGTAGCTGGGTGCCTTGCACATAGACAGATGGAAGTAGCTAGGCTAAGGAAACACAGAGCCTGTGACAGAGGTCAGAGGAAGACACCACTGCCCACCTCACAGACCTCTGGAGAAACACCACCACGTGAGGGAACACACTGTGGAGATCCTCATGCCTGTATCCACGCAAGCCCACATGGGGCAGCAGGCAGTACCAGCTTTGGCCCTAAGCCAGTCAGCTGTCCATCACGCTGCCACGTGAATGCGAGCTATGCTGCTTTTGGAGGTAGTCTGGGTGTCTGTATCAGCCCTCTCTTCCCCAAGGGCTCTTTCAGACAACAGTCAACAGCAGTAAAAAGGCAGCCCAAACACAGGGAATGCTACAGTTTAACTCTTGCTAATTAGTTTGGTTGGACACCACCTGTACCTGGTGGGACGCCACCTGTACCTGGCGAGAGGGTAACAGATCAGCCACGTGCATAAAAGGCATCCGTTCCCCATACAGAGAAACAACAGCGCAGCTCAGCAAGCTTCCCCGCAGGCCTCAGGAGAGCACAGTTCCCGAGCGAAGGGGATGCACCTCTCTCCAAGCACTGGCAGATGCGTAGCAGGGCTGTCTCTAAGGCTGAGGTCCAGGCCCCTGCCTGCATGTTCTCACCTCGAAGGGGAAGTCCATAGCCAGCACCTTACACAGGCTGTCCGAGGAGCAGGGGAAGTTCTGCAGGCCCACAAATTTGAACTGAAAGAGTAAGAGAGGGTTAAGAAGAGACAACTGCATGGCCTAAAGCAGAACAAGTCACTGAATCGATCACTGGTGTGGAGGTAGCTAAGGAAGGATTTCCCCCAGTGCAAGATCCAGCATGAGAGAGACAGGCATCAGACAAAGCAACCAGAGAGGAGATCTCAATCAGGGACCACTTCATTAAACTGCTGGCCTTCCTGCCACAGGGCATCGGGGGCCCAAAAGAAAAAATAGGCTCAAAAGAGGATTAGACCAGCTCCTGAAAGGGAGGTCCCCTGGTGGCCATTAACTCCACGGTCTAGGTACAACCACTAGCTGATGGAAGTCAGAGGGAACATGACAGGTATCCCCAATTCCTTACTCTTTCCACAGCGACTGGTCTCTGCGATTACCATGGGCTGTTGGGACAGACAGACCTCCGATGCGATTCAGAACAGCAATTCATAAGCAAACCCCAGAGCTAGAGACAAAACGACAGGACCGAGCTGTCCATCGGTGCCGATCATATCCCACTAAAATAACTGGAAGTGCCTGCACGAAAACCTACCAAAAATCACCCTAGCCACCAGAGAGGATGGGATGGGAAAAGTCTGTAGTGATAATCCCCGCCAGCAATGCTGGATAAAGCATGCACATCGCTGCAACTTTACAAATCTCGTTGCAGTAACAGAAGATGACCTTTAAAAGAAGACCAGGGGATTGTCACCACGATGTCCAGACAGCATGATATCTAGAGTGCCCAGAAAGATCTGTTTCAGGTATGTTATCATCCCAGTTCCAAATGACCCACTCTGGCATTTAATGAGAGATGTGGATGGCAGAGACTCAGCACACTGCTCCCACACGCTCCTGATACCTTTTTTCCACACATCTAAGGCTGCAGGAAGCACTTTTCAGGAGAGCTGACCCTGAGATGCTCTTTTAACCAAAATAGAAAATGATGACCTCTGGGCAGGATGCAAAGCAGACAGACGTCTGCTCCAGGCTGCTGGCTCAGCCAAGCAAATCTTCCACCCAGGAAATGAAGACTGAAATGACCCCCTTGCTTCGTTAGATAGCTGTCTTCCAGACAGTCCCATTGCAGTCAGAACAGGGTATTCTTCAAATACAGATACTTTAGCTGCTGGCAGAGGAGCAGTCATCCTCATTTATGATTGATCTGCTCAAAGCCACAGGAGCTGCTCTGCTTAGCTGCGTCTGAGCGCACACACACGGGCCGCACAGCAATCAGGTCCCGCTTTGCAAACTCTGCTCCGTAAGCCAGGCTGCCAAATCTCTTATGTCTGTCCCCAAAAATCACTTTCCAAGCTGCTGTGGGTTCTAGGTCTGACCTCCATGTGTAAGTCTTTGCAAGCCTTTTTATCCTTGCTCAGCAGGGACTCTGGGTGGCAATCCAGCATCTATCTCGACAACTTCAATGATTAGTTTAAGCAGGAGGGAAGGCTAAATCTTTACAAGTCTTTCCCCTTGCCTCATAAGCCCAAGAATAGGTCCCATTGTAGTCAGGCTGCTGACCAACGCTGCCCCTGTAGAAACCGCACTGGTTTTCCATTGCGTTTCAAGGGAAAGCTAAAAACGGCATGGAAGTTAGTTGATACCCTGCAGTCTCATCTCCCTCGGCACTTTGGCTGGGAAAGAAAAAAAAAACCCAACCCCGCACTTATTTACAATACTCAGTGGTTCTATTTACATCCTGAACACGGCATCCCATTTCATCAGAAGTACATTTTGAAGCCTGATCTGTGCGGAGGGAAAAAAAAAGAAAAAAAAGCTTCTGCTTGTGAAA